GTGTTTTTGTCGGTTTTTTGATCATACGCCCAATTGCTCTGGGCAGTCTTCCCAAAAAGATAATGGAAGTTTTTTGGCTTAGCTTGCGAAGACCTGGTATGATGATGAAAAATACGTCTAGAATTTATGAATTTCATTGCTATGATGTGAAATTAAAAAGAAAGTCTTCCCACAGTAGTTTCTTCCAGTTACGCTTTTCATGCCTGATGCTCCAGGTGCAGCAACTTCGACACCTTTCTATAATACGAAGGGTATAAAAGCTTTTCGCCTCTTCGGATAATCCTCAAACTTCTTCTGATACCATCTGAAATCAGAATCATCTAGTTCAGCCTGCACTTACGGGAAAATCGAAACCTGTGTAAGAGAAAAGTGTAAAACGACCGTGTTTATGCGTTACACACTGATATTGTTGTGCGAAGTATCTCGAGATAATTCTTTTCATAGACAAATTTAATGTTTTTCCTCCGCACCTCAGGCACATACACAAGGAGTAGCATTTTCCCAGCTGCTTTCTAAGACAAACTGGAAAAGTAATTTTGTGAAAAAAATAGAAAACAAAATGAGGAAAATCTCACTTATGGTGGTGGTAGGCACGCGGTCCAATGTTGCATGCTGTAAAAGTAAGAAAAGCGAATGCAGGTAATGTTCGAGCGAATATTGCGTAGCCGAGCCATTCGACAAACTCTCCGAAAAAATTAGCGCCCGAAACATACTCGAAAAAACCGCCGCGCGGTATTTTGTAGCCGGATGTGCCATCTTGCCGGAGATTTCGCAGAATCAGATCGGAACTGATATTAATAATCATACCGGAAACATACAGGACTGTGCCTGTAAAGCAGACTACATTGATTATTACGACCATTACGTTCAACAGGAAAGGGCTAATCTAGTACGCAAATAATCTAGCGACGCGTCTTAAGTCTAATACTTCCTTCTTGTACGCCACGTAAGCTCTGCTTTCTACACGATCTGGCGTGTGTCATGATACTGTTGGACGATTTGTTTGACTTGTTACGATAACTAGTGAGATTCTAAGCTATTAAGCAGTTATTGGATAATTTAGGCCAGAAAACTTCGTAAAAGAGTTCAGTGGAAGTGCTTACCCACCAGTAATGTAGCACATCAAGTTGCCCGATGAGATTTCAAAAGTAGCATAATTCGAATGCCATGCGCCTTGTATGTAGCCATTAGCTGTGCAGAAGAAAAAGGCCAGCAGAAACAAATGTGCCGGTGTTCCCTTACTTCCTCGGATCAAAAACGGATAGATGAGTGCCCTGCAACTGTTGAAAACCGTGCCGGTGACAAATTTAGTCGCAAGTTTCGCAGCTAGCAAAGTTAGCTACTGGATCACCGACTGCTGCGATGTATCGGTTCGTTTGGCGCACTGTTACAGCCCAAGATCCTTGAGGATCTATCTGTGTGGTCCTGTAGTCATTCTGGCGCACCAACAGCGCACTTGGGGTCAGTAACTTGCAAGAGAAAGAGCAGTGACCCGGATGCATATCCTGAGATTGAAAGAGAAGGCATTTGAGTAGGGACCTTTTTTGAAAATTCCGAAAAAAATAGAGGCTAACGAACAATCTCGACTCGGCTCGGTCACGGTTATACACGATTTGCGGTGTCCTTATCCCACTGCGGGAAAAGACGCTGGAAGCAGCAGATGGGGTGGTGTTGCGTGTGCGGGTCTTGGGTGGGCGGAGGGGGGAGGGTTGGAGGTAGGAGATAAGGGGAGTTGGTTGGGTGAATTGAATGGATACGTGGCGTGGACCATTTGACGGTTGTCTACACGAGATAAGGGGGAGGGTGGAGGAAATGATGGGTAAAAAAGAAGAAAGTGTGCTCCTGGTTTTTGCCGCGGCTACTCGGGGTAAGAAAAGGGTTGAAGTATTGCTTGCTTCCAGAGTGCTCTTATAGTGGCGATGGAGAGGAGCACAGTTGTTGCTTTGCAGACTGGATTTCAGGACAAAACAAAGAAAAGGAACGAGGATACAAGTCAGGAGTTCAAGGCAAAAACTGCAGACAGCATTAAAGAGAAAGAGAAAACAAAGCACTGTAAAAAAAAAAGTAAATTAAAGCAAACTTGGGTACAGGAATAAAAGCAATATCAAAAGAAAAATTTGGACATAAGCAAGAAAAAAAGTAAAAGCAAAAGAAAAACCCGTCACCAGTACCGGACATACTCAACATACTCATTTATGAAGCTGGTGCTTAAGTGAAACTGAGAGCGGATAAGGTAAACCTGCGGGGGTGAAA